CATTCTGTTGGTTGTCTCTTCACTTCCCTGACTGTTTCTTTTGAAGTACAGAAACTTCTCAATTTGATGCAATCCCAAATGTTAATTTTGGCTTTGACTGTTTGTACTTCTGGGGTATTTTCCAAGAAGTTGCCAGTACCTATATCTTGTAGAGTTTCTCCAGTGCTCTCTAATAATTTGATGGTGTTGGGTCGTAGATTTAAGCCTTTTATCCATGTTGAGTGAATTTTTGTGTAAGGTGAAAGGTAGGGGTTTTGCTTCATGATTCTGCACATGGAAATCCAATTTTCTTAGCGGATGATTTTATGGTTATTGGTGATTGCTTTGCCTCAGGATTTTGGTTTTAAGATCTGGCATGCTATAGTGACTCTCCTATGGCTGGTTTTGTGTGGCACAAACTGGAAAGGACAGATTCTGTTGCCTAGTAACCACAATAGTCTCAGGAAATGTATTGAATCTGTAATTTGCTTTCAGAAGTATGAACATTTGATGATGTTGCTTCTCCCAAGTCATGAACATGGAAGTTTTTTTTTTCATTTTAAATGTTGTTTTTTATTTCTTTCTTTCTTTAGTGCTTTGTAATTTTCATCATAGAGAACTTGGTTGGACTTCTTTCTTAAATTTATCCCAAGATATTTAATTATTTTGGAGCTAATGTTAATGGGACTGATCTTGAAAGTTTCTTTCTCAGCTGTGGCATTGTCTGTGTATACAAAGGCTATTGATTTTTCTGTGATCATTTTATATTCTGACACTTTACCAAACTCTTTTAGGAGTTCAAACAGTCTCTTAGTAGAGTCTTTCAGATTCCCTATATATAGGATTATGTCATCTGCAAATAGGGATAGTTTGATTCCTTCTTTTCCAATTTATATCCTTTTGATTGCTTTTTCTTGCCTAATGGCTCTGGCTAAACCTTCCAGGACTATATTAACTAGCAATGATGAGAGTAGGCTTCCTTGTCTGGATCTAAATCTTAGAGGGAATGCATTCAGCTTTTCACCATTCAGTAGGATGTTGACCATTGGTTTGTCATAAATTGCCTTGATAATGTTGAGGAACATTCCTCCTATACCCAATTTGTTTAAGGTTTTCCTCAGGAAAGGATGTTGTATTTTATTAAATGCTTTTCTGCATCTATTGAGATAATCATATTGGTTTTGTTCTTCAGTTCGTTCATGTAATGTATCACAACCATTGATTTGTGAATGTTGAACCATTCCTAAATACTAAAAATAAATCCCACTTGATCCAGGTGAATTATATGCCTGACGTTTTGCTGGATTCGAGTAGCTAATATTTGTTGAGGAGTTTTACACCTATGTTCATCAGGGATATTTGTTTATAGTTCTCTTTATTGTATCATTTTTCTGACTTAGAAAGTAAATGATTAACATTTCATTTAAGGAGTTTGGGAGGATTTCCTCCCTTTCAATTTTCTGAGTAGCTTGAGAAGAATACTATTAGTTCTTTAAATGTCTGGTAGAATTCAGAAGTGATGCCATTAGGTCCTAGGCTTTTCTTTGTTGGAAAGGTCTTACTTACTGATTCATTCTCTGTTGGTTATCAATCTGTTTAGATATTCTATGCCTTCATGACTAAATTTTGGTAGATTATTTGTGTCTAGGAATCTCTCCATTTTTTCTAGTTTTCCAATTTTTTGGCTCACAGCTTGTTCTAGTAATTCCTCATGATTCTTTTTATTTCTGTGGTGTCTGTTATATTTCTATTTTCATCTCTAAATTTATTGAATTGTGTCTTCTTCCCCCTTTTTTTGTTAGTTGGCCCAATGATGTATCAATTTGCTTATTTGCAAAAAATAAGCTCTTCATTTCACTGATCTTTTGTGTTGGTTTTTGCTTTGAGTTTTATTTCTTCTCTAATTTTAATTATGTATTTCTTCCTACTAATTTGAGGTTTGGTTTGTCATTTTTTTAGGTCCTTGATATACATTAATAGCTCATCTATTTGTTTCCTTACCAATTTATTCATGTAGGCAACAATTGCTATACTTTGCTCTTAACACTGCTTTTATTGAATCCCATAAATGTTGATATGATGTATTGTCACCTTCATTTGTTCCCAGAAAATTTTTGATTTCACTTTTGATTTAGTCTATGAACCACTGTTCTTTCAGGAACATGTTTTCAGTCCCATGTGTTTGCATATGATCTAGAGATTCCCGAGTTGTTGTTTTCCAGCTTCATTGCATTGTGGCTAGAGAAGATGTATGTTGTGTTTCAACATTTTTTTAATTTGTTGAGACTTATTTTATGGACTTAGCATATGGTCTAGCCTAGAGAAAGTTCCATGCGCTGATGAGAAAGATGTGCATTCTTCAACTGTAGGGTGAAATGTTCTGTACATATCTGTTAGGTCCTTTTGGTCCATTTTTGGTCTATTACCTATGTTTCTGTACTGATTTTTTTGTCTATTTGATCTATTGATAAATGTTGGATACTGATATCCCCCTTACTATTGTATTGTAGTCTATGTATCCTTTTATATCCATTAACATTTCTTTTGAATAGCTAAGCACCTTATAATTAGTTGTCAATACATTTATTTTAGTCACATCTTCCTGTTGAATTGATTCCTTAATCATTATATAAAGCCCTTCTTCATCTGTTACAATTTTTTGTGTTAAAATCTATTTTGTCTGATATTAGGATGAAAACACCTGACTTTTTTTACTTTCCATTGGCATGGAAAATTTTTTCCAGTATTTTACTTTCAGTTGGTATGTCTCTTTGGTAGTGAGATGTTTTTCTTATAGGTAGCAAATAGATGGTCATATGTTTTAATCCATTCAGCCAGCCTGTATTTTTTAACTGGATAGTTGAGGCCATTTGCATTCAATGTGACTATTGATATTAACAACTTGGCTCTGCCATTTTCCAGTAAATATTCCTAGTGCTTACTTTGGATTTCTTTCATATGTTTACTGGAGGATTATCAAACTTTACATTCTTTCATATTGATGGCTATCTTTCTGTGTTTCTGTGCATAACACATCCCTAAGCAACTTATGTAAAGCTGGATGAGAAGTGACAAATTCTTTCAATTTATGTTTGTTATGAAAGGTGTTTCTTTCACCTTCACTCATAAATGACTACATAGCAGGCTACAGGATTCTGGCTTGACAGTTTTTTTTTTCTCTCTTAAGATTTGGGATATATGCTGCCATTCTCTCCTAGCTTGTGTTTCTGATGAGAAGTCAGCTGTGAGTCTAACTGGATCCTCTGAAAGTAATCTGGATTTCTCTCATGCACATTTTATGGTCTTTATGGTGAATATCTTTTCTGGTAATATCTGTTAGGAGATCTATATACTTCATCTACATGAGTGTTCCTTTCTTTCTCCAAATTAGTGAAGTTTTCTCTAATTATTTTACTAAATGGGGCTTCTAATCCATTCTCTCTTTCTACACCTTCAAGAACTCTAATACCTGTATGTTGTGTTATTTGATAGTATCCCATAAATCTCTAACACTGTTTTTAAGTTTTCTAATTTCTTCTTTTTCTTCTTCTTTGATCTAATTGAATGATTTCCAAAGTTTTGTTTTCTAGGACAATATTCCTTCTTCTTCCATGCCAAGTCTGCTGTTATGGCTTTCCACCACATATTTTATTTGGTCTATTGAATTTTTCATTTCTAATATTTCATTGTGATTTCTCTTTAACATATCAGTTTCATAGGAAAATTTTCATTCATACCATGTATGGTTTTCTTAAGTTTGTGGATTTGCTTCTGGTTGCTTAAGAATAACCTATGTTTACTTTTTAATTCTATTTCCAGAATTTCATCAATCTCTTCATCCAAGCATTTAAATATTGAAACATAGTTGTGTTCTCACAGGGTCTTCTTTATTATTGTTTCTTGAATTTCTTCATTTGTATTTAGTTAAATACAATGAATAAATTTGTGGAGTTTTTTTCTTTTCATGGTAGAGTTTTTTTTTCTTTGAGCTATGAATCTATGACTTAATGTAATGCCTGCACTTTTAGTAAACACCCAGAGGTATATGGTTGGTATGGCCACGGAGCTCTGGTCAGTGCTTAGGTGTGGGGTAATTTTCCAGAGTAACACACAGGTGGTTATAGTAGATCTCAATGCCTGGGTGTGTTCTGAACCACTATAAACCCCACAAGTGTTCTGCACAGTCTTCACTGTGAGCACATTTTCTGCAGCAAAGACCTGTTATTAGTAACCAAGGAAATCCAAGCATGTGGAGCTGCAACCAGTGATTGCCCACAGGCCCCACTATACCCTGTATCTTTTCATGTATCCACCAAGTCTCTACAGTCTCAGTACAAAAGGCCCCAACAGACTCCAAGTGCACAGGTTTCTCTGCCCTACCAGGCTGTCCAGTCAATAGAGTGGCAAATGTTCCCTGAGACAGTTCTGCCTAGGTGTCTTGCTCCTGGGAGTCTGTGGGTGCTTTATGGTCCTCTGAGGTTGACCGCCTACCTCCCTGTCAGGCTCAAAGTCAGTGGGGACTGCCTAGTATTTTCTTTGCTAGAGTCACTGGATCACATGCATACATAGAAGTCACTGGCCAAATGTTGCTATCTCCTTACCATTACTGCCAGTACTGCAAAAAACAGGGAGTCCTGCTCAGCCAGTTGCTGTGCATGTGCACAAATTCTTCTGCAGTTCCTGCTCTAATCCAAAATGATGCTCACTCCTTCTCATCCAAGCAGCAGGAGCTTTTATGGGGAAGTTGAGGTGAATTAAACATGCCCCTTGTCCTTCCACTGGGTTCGTGGACAACCTGTAGCAACTGCTGGCCTCCAGAGCTCCAGTCCAGACTCACACTGTGACTCCCTCTGGCTATATCACCATGGGTTGCTTCAGCCCAGCCTCACCTCTGTCTCCAAGCTGCCTCCTGCTCCAGCTCTTGGCTGCTTCAGTTGTGCTTGTGCTGGTGTTCTTACTGCATGGCTGCACCTTCCACACAGGTCCATGACATTCCTTTTCCTGTTGTAGGATTTCCAGTGCAGTTTTCTCTCCTATTCTATCCTGAGAGTGTACTCCCTATCCTTTTTCTTCCTGTTCATCTGTAGCCTATCACAGTGTGTTGGTCCCAAATTCACCATCTTGGAATCTCACTATAGTTATTCTTATCACAGAAGAGTGAGTTGTAAGAAGAGTCGATTCTGTAATATCACCCACAAACCTCACTCAATTTGGAATTTGGCTTAGAGACTACTAGAATGAAGCCAGTGGGGATTCATAGCAGAGACAATGCTCCACAGAGAAGCAGATTAAGTCAGAGTTGTGAAGTTGGAGGGTATTTGAAATCTTCAGAATTATTTTGATCAATGTGAAACCTAAAGCAACTTTCATTCCTGGGAGATTGAAACGCTAAGACAAAAGGGTAAGTCATAGTGTGTGTACTTTTGTGTTCTATAACACCTATGGAGTTTCTGGCTAAAAATGAACAAGTATTTCTGATATGAATTTGAGCCAATAAAATGATATATTTAAAACACAGTTTGGAAAAATTTGATAAATAATTTATTCATGAAAATATGCATGGCTACTTTTTTTAATCTCTCAAAAGTGTTCCATCCTCCCCATGCCAACCCACAGGCATGTGAAATTTCCTTTAACATTTCCATGCTTTTTCTTAAGTATGGAAATCAATGTCAAAACCAAAACTGTCTGTATGACTTCTTCCTCAGCATTTCCAGTTGATTATTCATTGAGTGCTGAGGAGGAATGTGAAATCAATAAGACCAAATAGCAGTGCTTATTTCCAGATGACTTTCCATTATATAGTCAGTCATGTTCTTACAATTATTTTGGATGTTTATCTTGCATGTTCATAAATCTTGTATGTTCATAAATTGTAATTTTAAATATAATTAGAAATCAGTGACATAACTCAAAGAATGATTTATTACTCTCAGGAAGTACTGAGGGCAAGCAGTCTTAAAGTAAAGCACCATATTTTTATAGGTTTGAATTACAAGCTCTTAATTTGTAAAACACATCTAGACTATAAGATTAGAGATCAGATTATCCATTATTATTTACAGCCAGTTGGATCTGTAAAAGAAAGAAATTACAAAATAAGTCTGACATGATACAAAGCAATTTCACACCAGATGTTTATCTAGATTTTAAAATTAACTTAACCCCATTTTTTTTTTTTTAGTCAACAAGTATCCTAGGCCAACAGTACCTGTTCAACAGTTTAATACTTGAGGTTGTCTCTAAGACAAATAAGTGTGTTCAGGCCACTGTCAGACATCTTCCAACTTCATCCTGAGAGTAGATAGCTGAGGTGGTCTACTATTGAGTATATACAGTATTATAGTCTATACATTATACACCACAATGGAGACAGAAGAAATCCTGTCACTGTTGATGATTTAATCCATGGAGAACCTACAAAGAGAAGAAAGGAAACAAAGTACAAATCCATTCTGTAAGTACTTCAGATGAAGGAAGCTGACTAAGATAGACTCAGGGGCATCTTCCTGTGTTCTACATATTAAACTAGTCAGTTATCTCTGATTAACAGCAAGCATTGATGTTGACTTTTCTTTAGACCTAATTTTTTCCTGGGACATATTTTTTACCATCTACCTTTGGGTTAACACAGAAGTTTGTAAGTTTGAAGCTTGTAAAAGATGACCTATTTTATCTATGAGCACTGTGGGGAGCAACTCGGACTAGACTAAGTTACTGGAATTAAGACTTATTCTATGCATCTGCTCTCCCACAATATGGCACTGGGAGAGGAGAAAACAGCTTCTACACAGCTGCCTCTCACCAACTTGACAAACTGTAGGACCTGCTCCTGATTGGAGGAGAGCAGCGTACTCGGCGTGTGGGCAGCCGAGTTGGGATTGGTGGAAGAGGACTATAAAGGAGGAGAGAGACAACATGCACCAGGAACATCTAAGAGGAACACCTGTGCAGCCCCTGAGAGAGCAGTGTGCCACTCCCCCGCGGAAGTGGGGAAAGTGGCTAGGGGGAACCGCCCTTCCATGGAGGTGGAAGGGAAGGTAGCCAACCCGGGAAGAACCAGCAGCAAACCCGGGGAGGGCCGAGCAGACAAAAGAACAGCGCAGGGTCCTGTGTCATTCCTCCATGAAGAGGGGGAGCGACAGAGCACAGCAAAATATTTACCATCAAACTACAGTACAAGATAGTTTTTGAACACCCATGATTGTTTTTAACAAGAAAATTAACAGGAAACAGAGGGAAATATCTCAAACTTTGTGGCAAACAAAGGGAGATCAAGGATCAAAGGAGAGAGAAATACATAAGAAAGTAGGGCCCTCATTCATAAGGGTGATAGGTGCTGAGTGTCTTAGTGCAAGAACATTTCAGCTCTCTTATAGAGTTGTGAAAAAGTGAAGAGACCAAAGGGGAACTGATGCCATCCATCATCCTTTTACATTAAATAGGACTCCCACACTAATTCACAACCTTGAAAGTGCAAATGATATAATACTGGCAGCCAATGTGAATGTAGGCAGGTGTATCATAGTTCCAATGACTTTAGAAAGAATTAACTCAATGTCATAAGTTATAAGAAAAACAAACAATGCCTACCAATCAGCACCATAACTCTTCACTACTGGAAAGAATGCCCTCCCCTATGTGCACTAACAAGATGTAGAAACACGATTCTCAGCTGGGTAAGTTTGACGTCCCAGAATTCTGAAAACTGTCCGGAGACATTTCCAGCTGTCACATAATGGGCTTCACTGCCTTCCAGTGGATAGCTGTCATCCTCCTAAAAACAGCACTGGCCTGTGCCCCAACTATTATCCAGCTCAAAATGAGTATGGTGCCCAAGTAGAGCATTTTGGCATAGGAAAAGGGTCTATACTCCCCCCTCTTTCAAACTCTTCACCTTTTAAACCACTTTTCCAATAGTTTGAGATATTGGGATATTTGTGCATCATGAGCAAAGTTTTTCATAGAAGAGTGGGCACAGTAGGCAGAATTTTAAGGTGGCCTCTGACTTATGCACACTGTGTTATGCCCTGCATTTCCCTCACCCTTAGATTAGCACTGAGTCTAGATGATTAAGGATGGCAAAGCTGATATACAGACACTCCTATTGTTATGGCCTTTGACATGAGGAACCACTTGAAAGACTTGAGGGAAATTCCCTTGCTGGACTGTGTACTGTGGTATGAGTGGGAAGTACAAATATACCCTAGGAACTGAGGTTAGATGACAAGTGACACAGAGAAGCTGGATCTCTCAGTCATGTGCCATAAGGAAATAAATAATGCTGATGATAAGTATGTATTCATGAGCAGATAAATCTGATCCCGCAGATGACAGCCAATGCATGTAGAAATTTGATGATGTCTTCAATTATGACTGAAGCCCTTTCTTGGCAAGGGGGTCTTTCCTTGTCTCCTGGGCTTCCTACTCTACCATGACTGTTACTGCCTGCTTTTCTAGATGATTCATTCCACAGTCCTTCTCTCTCAGATCCTCCATGTCCCTGGATATTTCCTGTAAGCATGATCAGTCCCTAAGTTAAACTAATAAAACTAAGAATCCTGTCACAGTGACTTCAGCAAGGTGTTTCAATACTAACATATCTAACATGTTGAACCTGCCTAACTTCTTAAAATAAAGCTTTCCAAAATTATATGGTCAGAATCTTATATTTTCCTGTATATCTTATTTCACTTATACCAAGTGTTTCTTTAAGTATTTTTGCGTCTTACTCATTAATGTGATTCAGATTAGAAATATATTTTATTCATGTGCATGATTTTTACATTCTGTGTCTCAGCAGTGTGAGAAGAGGAAGACAACTTTACACAAGAGAAGGAAATGAAGAACTGTGATTTATATGCTGTCCAGTCTGATCATAGTGACTTCAGTCCACCGGATTGAAACCTTAAGTACTCAGTGTGACACACTTAACCAAAATCCTCTGCCATAAAAATCTTAGAAGCAAACTCATAAAAGCTTACTTCAAAGAGAGGTTGTGAGGAAGAAATGCTAAATTAGGAACTTGCCTTATACATGGTGCTCCTAATTCATTTATTCAAGCCTATTCAGTCACTGCAAGAATAAAAAAGGCACTGAGTGCTAATACTCCTGTGAGCTGTGTGAAGTGTATATTTTATTGGAGTAGTGACAGAACAACAGAACAGTAGGCTCCAAATAATCATTGATAGACAAAATTGGGACAGGAGGGCATGGTGGTCACACTGACTACGATGTCATCAGTGTGACAGACTGGTAAGGGTCTTAGAAGTTGAGGGGATGGGAGAGAAGAAATGCAATAAGAAACACAATGGTGAGCCACATTAGGAGCAGAGACAGGTGTGATGACTCTTTAGTGGCCCTTCTCAAGACTCTGAAGTTCAAGTGGTAAGTAACAATTTATTCCAGAGCTAGAAAGGAAGTCTTGGGTAAGATTCTCTCTATTATTGATTCTGGAGGACCCTGTAGTAATTCTGGCCATGTAGTCACCATTCTAGCAGACAATAGAAAGCCCCTGCCTCAACTGTCACCACATGATATTTCTCATCACCAAGAAAGACTTGAAACCTGAGGATGTAAGGAAACATCCACCCTCATGAGCATTCATCCTGCAGTGTTTGGCACTCACACAATACCTGTGCCAGTCCTCACGCAGGAGCAGTGATGGGGGTGGATGGCTAATGATCACATCACCAAGTCACAGGGTTAGGGGAAGAGGAGTTACAGGATTTGATCTGTGTCTGAGGTATCCCAGTACCCATCTGCCCAGACTCTGTATCTTTATGAATGGTGCTGCCTTCTGTGGACATCTGTCTCCTTGGGATCTTTCCACAATTTCATCACTTTCTATTTTCTAAAATGTGCTGTCTGACTGGGCTCCTGTGTCTACAGTATGCTTTCTCATCACTTTCTGGACCAGTCTCCTAGTGGAGGGAGCACATGGAGACAACTCAATTACGGCCATTAAAAGTTGAGTGCAATTGCCAGGCTGTATTTTGAATACTTTCCTGAACCTTAAGGAAGAGACTTCAATCAAGTTTTTCACATTCATGTAGGAAGCCTCTAGGGGTAAATGTCAATCAATAACCCTGGGCAAGTGCTAGGAGCAGAAATAATATTTTCCTATTCCTGAGTCCCAAAACCATTAAGATTCAACAATTATGATTAAGTCCTGACAGTGAACCTGGTCCTATTTCCAAAATTTCACAAGTGAGATTTGATGTTCTGATTATAGAAATAGACTAAACTATGATCAGAGTGTTGGTAAGTGACTGCTCACCTGCCATGTAGTATCAGCCAAGTGACTTTATCTTTCTATGCCTTGCATTCTCTATAAAAAGGGCAATGATTCCTGATGCCCAAAACTGTTTTTGAGTATAAAGAGTTCCAGATACAGACACTCCTCAGCTAGTGTCGGACAAACCCTAAACCCTCAATAATTCTTAGATATCAGGATTTGGAATGTTACACCTTGTGATGATTTAATTGATGTTTTCTCATTCCCTGTTCACCTCTAGTATCCACAAAGTAAGGGGTCTTTTCAGATTACTTCTCATTCTCAAGACAGAGACTGAAATGTAGAAGACCTCCAGACTGAAGAAAGGAATGATGAACCAAGAACACAGTTTTTTTACTCAATTCTGTCATCTTATCATGTGGATACTAGTCAGGCAGTAAAAAGCACTGAGTTCTGGCCTCACTTCTACCACAAAGGTAAGTCATTGTCTCCAGATGAGTGTTACTGTGGCTATGACAGCCTGTGAAACTTACATACACAGAGGCCTTATCTCCTAAACACAGGCCTTGTACACAGGCCTCTCACAAACACAGGATAGCACATCACACAGGCCTCTCTCTCTCTCTCTCTCTCAGAAAAAATATCTGGCAATCTGTCTCAAGGGTGTCCTACATGCATAAGTGTAAGGAATAGATCTCGCTCCTCCCTTACTCGAGTAACAAGAACAGACCAGAAATCATTGAGTGAGTATTAAGAATTGGACATGAAAAGTTCATAGTAATGTGGGAGAAGATGTTATGGAAATAACCTCTGTGATCCAAAACAATGAATGCAGTGATATGCTCTTATGAGGTTCTATATGGATTTATAGAAACAACTATCAATCCCACCTGTACATGCTCAGGGAAGACTTATCCTAAGAGATGAAATCATATTGAAATATTCTAAAGCATTACTTTTTCCAAATCTTAAACTGTCTAAGGAAAGAGCAAGGTCAGCTTTGCAGATCTGAAATCTTGTGATGCTGAGAGTTCGGAAATCATGTAAAATAGACAATCAGAAAGAATCTAGTCTCAGAACAACCAGGACACACTGCATCCCAAGGACCCAGAGGAGATAGACATAAATATATTAAGACATGCAGTATTTCAAATAATCCACTGAAAATCATAAGTCGTATAGATGCAGGAGTGCCTGCTATTCTGTATCTCCCTCCCATACCACTTCAGTCAGACTCTGGAAAGATGATGCTGGGATCTGCGGGACCTTGGAAACCCTAGGTCATAGAGGTCACTCAATAGCTCTTCAACATTAGAGGTCCCCAGACCTAACTGTCAGCAGTGGCTTTTGAACATGAATCATTGAGGTTCCACAGACATAGCAAGATGGCTCAAGTGCATTACCTTTTGCATGAGTTCAAACAGATCCTGGGCACCTGCTGCTTCTCAATTTCTGTTTGAGGAGATCATGTTGCAGAGTGTGAGAATCACTTAGATTAGACATAGCAGCCCTTGGGTTAGGGTGAAACATTCACCAGTAAAAATGAGGAGACTAACACTTTGCCACACTTGCTTTCTCTCAAGAAAAAGAGATCTCCCCTTTATGCTTCTCCTCCTGTCCCCATTCTCAGCATCTTTTCTCTGTGTCTCAGTGCTCTGACACTCTCCATATTAATTGTTTCTCTCTTTTAACTCATAACAGCTTCTACCTCCAAATTACAACTTGGCATGATCTTTCCACACTACCCACTGCCAGTCCCCACATCCATTTATAACATCTCTCATTTGCATAATTTAATTTCTTTCCTGGACAGCTACTAGATTACTAAGTTTCCAAATTCCATGAGGTAAATCAATTATTGGATGGTCTTGGATCAAGGGTCCAGAGCCTATTAGTTGGTTTATTTTATTTATTTGTTCTGCTTTACTTCATTATTTACCATGTTGTATGCACTACACTTTACTTCTTGCCCCTTCCTAATTATTTTTCTTGCAGCAGTTGTTCTCAGGGAATCTCATTCAGTCTAACATCTTTAAAGGACATTTGAAAGCTCATGACATCTTAATGTCTACCTACAGCCCAAACACCATCTTCAGCTTCTCTTATATTTAGTATACTGTCTTATAATAATAACTTATTTACATGACTTACTAATCATGATGTCTAATTGCCAGCTCCAAACTAACCTGCCCTGACCATATTTATCTATCTATTTCTTTCTTTCTTTCTTCTTTTTCTTTCTTCTTTCTTTCTTTCTTTCTTTCTTCTTTCTTCTTTCTTTTCTTCTTCTTTTCTTTTCTTTCTTTTCTTTTCTTTCTTTCTTTCTTTTCTTCTCTTTGTTCTTTCTTTCTTTTCTCTTTCTTTCTTTTTCTTTTCCTTTTTCTCTTTCTTCTTTCTCTTTTCTTTCTTTCTCTTTTCTTCTTTCTTTCTCTCCCTCCCTCTCTCTCTCTCTCTCTCACACACACATACACACATACACATGTATATATATACACACACACACAGAAGTCTGCCTTCATTACACATTTGAGTAATCCTAAACTACTATTTTCTTCTCATACCAAGGCAGGAGTCAGCTAAGGGTTAATTGGGGAATCTGAGAAAAACAAATTCTCAAATTATTTTGTAGTCTTAGTGTGTTTTTTCCTTTTTCCAGTCTCTACCTCCTTGCCCTTATACTTGACCTTGAGGCAGTAGACAAAGAGATAATTGGAGAAGCTAAGGAAAAAAGTTGCAAACTTGACCTTCATATGCATGTGGTAATGTCCAGATGGCTTACATGCCAGATGATCTCAGAACCACACGGAGGGTTGCCTCTCACCAAATAACCACACCTATAAATATACAGACCTTAACCACATTCAAGTGGCTTTGGTCTCAGCCTGTTGCCAGCTCATATTTTCATAATGAGTATACTTTACTTTCCTGTAATAAACATTTATTTCTTTACTCACTGCTTGTGTGAGCCTTGTTCAATTCATTATCTGAAGTTCAAAAGAGCTTAGTCATGAACTTTCCACTGTCAACTCCAATGATACTAAATATGTAAATTAAAAAAATTAGCTATTTCTGTATTTTGAAGATCTGATCTCAAGTCCATCTACCTCTACCGCCAGCATTTTTCATTCTATTCCTACATGACTCCATCTCCTGGACTGCTCAAAATCAATATTCTCAAGTTGGTACTTATTTGGGGCTGGTGCTGTGGTGTAGTAAGTAAAGCTACTGCCTGGAGTGTCAGCATCCCATATGGGCACTGGTTGTAGTCCTAGCTGCTCCTCTTCCAATTCAGCTCTCTGCTATGGCCTGGGAGATCAGTAAAAGATGGCCCAAGTGCTTGGGCACCTGCACCATCATGGGAAACCCAGAAGAAGTTCTTGGCTCCTGGCTTCAGATCGGTCCAGCTCTGGTGGTTGCAGTCATTTGGGGAAATGAACCAGTGGATGGAAGCTTGCTCTCTCTCTGCATCTGTCTCTCTGTAATTGCCTTCCAATTTTAATTTTTTTTGACAGGCAGAGTTACACAGTGAGAGAGAGAGACAGAGAGAAAGGTCTTCCTTTTCCTTTGGTTCACCCTCCAAATGGCTGCTGTAGCCGGTGTGCTGTGATTCGAAGCCAGGAGCCAGGTGCTTCCTCCTGGTCTCCCATGCAGGTGCAGGGCCCAAGCACCTGAGCCATTCTCCACTGCCTTCCAAGGCCACAGCAGAGAGCTGGACTGGATGAGGAGCAACCGAGACAGAATCCAGTGGCCCAACCGGGACTAGAACCTGGGGTGCCAGCACCGCAGGCAGAGGATTAGCCAAGTAAGCCATGGCACCAGCCGTAATTGCCTTTCAAATAAATAATAAATAATACTAAAATGTTTTCTTAAAAAATTGGTACTTAGGGGCTGGCACTGTGGCATAGCAGTTTAAAGCCCTGGCCTGAAGCGCTGGCATCCCATATGGGCACAAGTTCTATTCCCTGCTGCTCCTCTTCCCATCCAGCTCTCTGCTATGGCCTGGGAAACAGTAAAAGATGGTCCAAGTCCTTGGGTCCCTGTACCTATGTGGGAGACCCGGAAGAAGCTCCTGGCTCCTGGCTCCGGGCTCCTGGCTCCTGGCTCCTGGCTCTGGCTTCAGATCAGCTCAGCTCCAGCTGTTGTGGCCATCTGTGGAAGACCTCTCTCTCTGTTTCTACCTCTTGCTGTAACTCTGTCTTTCAAATAAATAAAATAAATATTTTTTAAAAAATGGTACTTCATAGTTGCCTAACAATAAATCATTTATTTGATTATTCATACCAAATTCAAATTTACACTTGGTAAATCCTTTTATATCATTTGTTGGATTATTTTATAGAAAAGTCTTACTGATGTATTTTGCCTTTTACCAAAATGCATAGCCTTTTAAACATATCTGCTCTTTGCTAAAATCTAAAATTTACCAATAACAGACATAGCCATGTGCCTGTTTTGCTATTTTGGAAAAAGGTGAAAGATTTATACATTCTGAAGAGAAATCAGAGTATAGTTTTGCCATTTTGAATGTAGCATAATACATAATATTCTATTTGCATTTTATGAACAGTAATAATTGTTCTGAATTGGAAACTGCTAAGAATCATCATGCTATTGTATTATTTGAAGATCAGTGTGTTTATATAGTTGGTCTGAATATTTTTCATAAGGTGAGAATTATTCTTCCACCTAACAAGTATAATATACCCAAACAGGTAAGCTACCCTTTTAAAATAAATAAGTATTTTCTATAAAACATATCTGAACAAAAAGATGTTAAGATGTTGACAGAAAAATGTATTCTGTTTATTTAACTGTACCTTCAATGCTATGTGTGTGTGCATGCGTGCATACATACACTGTTTATCACAGGAAAGATTAAGCATAATACAAATTATCAATTATTTAAAGATAGCAGGTAAATATTATTTGAAGATGGCAGGTGAATATGAAATGAGATATTTTGGAAATTAGGGACCATACTATTGTAGATTGATCATTGAATAAATCATAAATAGAAGGAGATAGATTTGGGAATTTTGAAACTGAAAACGTAAGGTCATCTTTAAGAAAAACAAAATGTAAAAAAAAAAAAAAAAAAAAAAAAAAAAAAAAAAAAGGGCCGGCGCCGTGGCTCAGTAGGCTAATCCTCCACCTTGCGGCGCCGGCACACCGGGTTCTAGTCCCGGTCGGGGCACCGGATTCTGTCCCGGTTGCCCCTCTTCCAGGCCAGCTCTCTGCTATGGCCAGGGAGTGCAGTGGAGGATGGCCCAGGTGCTTGGGCCCTGCACCCCATGGGAGACCAGGAAAAGCACCTGGATCCTGGCTCCTGCCATCGGATCAGCGCGGTGCGCCAGCTGCAGCGGCGGCCATTGGAGAGTGAACCAACGGCAAAGGAAGACCTTTCTCTCTCTGTCTCTCTCTCTCACTGTCCACTCTGCCTGTCAAAAATAAAAAAAATAAATAAATAAATAAAAAA